TCATGCCGGCCGAAGCCGCGCGTGCGCAGGCGGGGCCAGCGTCTCTGTGACGGTTCGTCAAAAAGCCGCTGCAGCAGCGCGCGCCGCCGCCGCCCTGCCCAGCGATGCAGAGTCACAGGACGGCAGCGCCTGGTCCCACGTTGCGGCAAGCGGAACTCCAGCCCGGCAAGAGGAAGGAGTTTGCCCGCTGAAGAGCGGCTCAGCCAGCAAAGAAGCTGAAGTGGAACACTGGCTGTGAGACCACCTCAAGCCTCATCGCCTGGGATCGTGGCAGGACTCCCAGAGACGGAGACCGCGAGAACCATGTCTTAGTCTCACTGCCAGGGGTGCCTGTGTGCTGTAGCCCGCACTGTTTCTACGGGCATAATGGTTGCCTTGAGTTCACACATTATTATTTTTATCTCTAGCACATTTCAGGGGAATTACTTGTTACTTGTGTGGCCTTGTAGAGCTCATTATCAGGCCTGCGTCCTGCAAGCCTCCCAAGGGCCTCCGTTAGATCACTTTAGCAAGCTGAAACAATGCATGTCAGTTCATTTTCACGCCATCAGACAAATGTACCTATGCATGCATCTTTTCCAAATTTTCTCTCCCTATACATCTAAACCAGATACAAAGTGGCAGGACCTGTTAGCAACCTAAGAAAGGGAGAAGCTCTGTGGCCATAGCCGTCGTGGACCTAAGTGTGTCCACAGCACAACTCATGGAGTCCCTTAATATGTGCCAAGATTGCTGAAAGGGAGATGTTTGCACCTATTTCCACAAAGCATTCCAATTCTAGTTCTCCTCCTGTCTTCTTCCAAGGTCTGGGCTGGCCTTCTCCTTGCTATGTCCTCTCTCAAGCTTTTCCCAAAAGTTGGTGAGGCAATAAACAGGAAGCTGAAGCTATCAGCCTTTGGGCAGGACACTGCTGATCAGTGCCCACCAGCACCAGAGATGCCTGTGTGGAGTGTACTGCCAGAGATGTTCTGGCTCTGGGTTCTCTTTCCTTGAATATTTTAACATTATTAGCTAAAGGTAACAGAAAACAAAAGCCCCCTCTTGCTAATTTTCTTGCCTCTCTCCTCAAAACTGGTCATTAACCAGAAGGGATGTGTGGCTGATCCTAGTAGATGTACCTTGTAATCAAACTGGTTTCTAGTGGCTGGTCATGTGGCTGTGCAGACACTGTAGGAGGATTTAGATACCTGGGAAGGCAGCAGCTGCACAGAAAGATTTAGGTGTGATTTCAACCATTGTCAGGAACACAGGAAGCAACCACAGGCTATAGAAGGTCTGCAAAGCGTAGCTGATGCATTCCAGATGTCTGCACGGTAGTATGTGGATAGGCAGAAGGGCAACAGCACACACTGACAAACAATGCCAGTGCTGAGAAGCGACCGGAGCAGACTGGAACTAACTCTGAACCTTTGTTCAGAGGAGTTAGATAGTGAAATCCAGCTGGGGGAACTTCAGAGATCAACACAAAACAGTGACAGGGAAGAAAAGCAAGCAACAGGCAATTGCCATAACAACACTCTCTTTGCCTGTAAGCCTAAGTATTTCAAGTATTTCATGCTTCCATAGGAACTGGCATTTCCTTCATTATCCCACTTTACTCTCCTTTTGTTTGTTTTTAGCCAAATTTCTGAAATAGCCACAGAACTAATTTTTGAACATAAGTTTTACCTAACAGGCCAGGCAAATGGTTTTCTCAGAGTACATTTAACATGTTTTCCATAGGTTTACATCAACCAACATCTCAACCTCAAAACTTGACACATTTATTTACTCTTTTGAATTGACAGATTCAAGTTAATGCTTTCATTTTTAAGGGCCATTTATTAAATGTAGTTAACATGACAAATATAGACTTCCCATATTTGTAAAACTGTCTCCTAAGTCCGTATCTCTAGTTTAGCTTCATATTCACTAGGGTATAAACACAATTACAATAAGGCATACAAAGGGCTTCCAGCACCATCTTGTATCTTGTTGCACCTGAGACATCATCATGCCAATGATCTTATAAGGCATTTTTCCCTCTAACCAGAAAAGGTAATTTAAGCTAACAGTAAAGTCTCTGAGAATGCTCTGACAACTGAAACAATGAGAATTTGCTTTGACTTCTTCTTTCTTTGTGCAGAGCTAAGCAGAACTTTTTAATTTACCACAGATATAAAATCTGATTTTTATATGAAGTATGTGCATTCAGTCTGGTCCAAAACATTTGTATGGCACATGCAAATTTATATTTAACTTTTCTCTTTATTTCAACAAAAGTAAATTTAATTCCACCTTTCATCAGAAAAATCTGAGATAATCAATGTAGAAGTCATTTCCACAATTACGCACTTTGTCCTTCACTAACTTCCATGGACAAACTGTATCTTGGACTATTTATATCAGAACAACGAGGAATATTTTCTAAATATTCCACTGCTGTTATTTCAGCTGGATTCATATTAATGGAAAACCCTCCATGGAGTGGAGGACAAACCCCTTCAGAATGACAGGTCACACTGTCTTGAGCAACTGGACCCTTCCATATACAGAAAAAATTTAGGCAAACTACAACAGAAATGGAGAAGCTGAGGGGAAAACAGCTGGAAAAGCTGTTAACCATTCCACTCACAGGCAAAAGGGAGAAGAACAGAGAATGAGCAACCTTCTCTAACATGTGGTTCCTGTTCTGATTCTTCGTAACATCCTTCCACATCCCCAGCAGCACAGTGGCAGGAAGAGCCTAATCCCACTATAATGCTACTAAATACCAACTAGTGCTCATTTTCAAAGAAGCCATGGTACATTTCCTCTGTTGTAATTCATCCTTCTTCCCACACATCAGAGAAAGGAGTTTTTATTAAGTAGCATTTTCAGTTACGACAAACATGAATCCAGGACAAAGGCCTGTACTTGCATTCAGCTTTTTAAAACACAAAACAGTGACTGGTGAGTACAAGTATTATTATACAAGAAATCAAGTCACTCAAACCCTCTTCATTGTGAAGAGGGTTGAGACTGGAAGGTTCACAGAATGCTCAGAATGGGAAAAGGATCAAAAGCATTGTTCAAGGCACACATAAACTGAAGAAATAGGTGCTTTGAAGTCTATACTTTTGTTTTCCTCCCTTTACAAGTCTGTACTATGATATGGAGATAAAAGCCAGTCTGTGTGGGGGGAACGTCTTCACCCAGTACTTTTTCTAAATTAAGTTCCAGAGTTTTGTTTTTGTTACAAACAAGTAATTTATAATCTCATATCTGTTTCAGGATTCTCAGATCTGTGGTGCTGTTAACATTGCACTTAATTGGCATTATCCATTTTTAAAAAGAAATAAAAAAGCAGCTCTGAACTTTGCTTCTGAGATGGAAGCACTGTCTCTGAACCAACGATTCCTGTCACTCCTGCTTTGTATCTTTCAAGGCCTGAAGTCTTTCTAAAAGGGGTGGATGGGAGTAATGCCACATTGAAAAGATCCAGTCAGAAACAGGGAATCCTAAATTATCTTTGTTTAGCTTGATCAAAGCAGAATATAGGTCTTTAGCCTTCCCAAGTTCCTTGGCAAATGCATCTGCTTGAAACTCAAATCGTCGGCTTAATACAGTCAAACAAAATGAGAGAACCTGTGGAGAGAAATATATATTAAAAATTATTTTAAAATTCAGCTATCTGCAAGTTCCTTACAGTATCAGTAAATAGTACTGTATCTTCCTTCCTTCCCACATCCCACACATCACTGTGGCTGTAGAATGATCTCACTGAGGTTCATCCAGACCACACCTGAAACTGGGAGTCTTACCCAACATGGAGCACTACACCTACTTATTAAAACAAGATACCAGATAGAACCCCTAGAAACATCAAACTCCACCCCACTCCCCTGTCAAAATAAAATCACCATTTAAATAGGATGATACTTCAGCATTTACGTCTTGAAAACAATTTTACCTCATTGTAAGGTGAAAAAATGAACTGGAAAATAATCATCAAGCCTATCAGGGTAGGCTGGGTGTCATAGAAACCAAATGCAGCAAAGAGTTCTTTTCGACCAATTAACACAGCAAACAAGAAGAAGCAGAGGAAGGAATTCATCTAGAAAAAGAAATAATGTTCTTGATTAAGATGAGTTTTTCATCTAAGTCTAAAACATGGGCTATTCATATTACAGATTTGCATAGAAATGCCACTGATAAAAAATAAAATAGTTTACTTTAGGACTAATATGCAAAGTGGAACAAACAGCTGGCCTTTACCTGCTTTCTATAAATGCATGCAGTAAAGAAACACTTCAATATTTTCTGTCAGTGAGCTAGAAAGAAGTGAAGGAAGTGAAGGAAGATGAAAAGGTAAGAAGACAAGAAAAAGAAGAAAAGACAAGAAAAGATAAGTGAGGAGAGAGTACAGGGTAGAATCGTATCTCCTTGGAATTAAGCAAAGGTTACAAAAAGTTTAAAATCAAACAAAATATGTCTCTGCTTCTATTCCTGGAAACAATCCATACTTTCCATCTAAGCCATGCATCACTGTGTACAAGCACTGTGCTTGCCTGGCTTTTCAGAGGCAAGAGGCAGGACCTCGTCTTACCAAGTTTTCTAGAGAAGGAGATTAGTACCCTTTCAATCTATTCAAGTGACTGGTCTTTAAATTTAGAGTAATGTGGAAGGTGCTAGAATATTGCTTGTTATTGAAACACATGGGACAGAAAAAAAGAGGGACAGCTGTGACAAGAAACAAATAAACAGAAAAAGTACATGACATTGCAGAAGAATTTGTGAAAATTTCTGGAAGCGAAGATAAAATCTACCTATTACAACAAAATAATAGTATCTAGAAAGTGGATCCAAAGATGTGTTACATGAGTTAGCAGAGTGGAAAAAGCATTATAATAATTGCTAGTTAGTAGGGATCAGCACTGATGTCAGAAGCTGAAAGGTAATTGCATTAAAGCAGAAAGTGAAAAGGACCTCACTGAAGTGTTCAGCTGCATAACTAAGAAAAAGCCAGTGTGGAAACGGAAAGACAGATATTTTCTTAAACAGGAACTTGATAGTGATGTTTACAGCCTGCAAGGCTTGTGAATAGCCTTAGAAAAAGAACAGAACAGCATTTCTGGAATGGTGCACACATGTCAAGACAGACATGATGGAGTTACAGAAGGTGCATAGGAGGGCAGCTAAGAGAAACAAACAGACAAAAAAGAGGCTGGGTACTTGGAGAAAAGAAGGGTGAGCGATACCTGGAACAAGGCAGATCTACACCAAAGCATATAGTAGACTGTTGATAGTAATATAACAGAAGGCACATAGTTGTACCTTGCAAATAAAAGAATTTGAATTTGGAGGTTTGGTGGAGGAATTCCCTTGTATTGTGCAATGCCCAGAGGCGTATGCATGAGTAAACAGACCAGCAGGCTCCTTTTCTTCAAAGGCGAGGTTGGGCAATGTCTAGAGATTGCTTCAATGTTCACTCCCATTTAGGCATGCACCAAGAATGGCACAATAAAGTTATTTACCAACAAACAATGCACAAGGTATGAGAATACAATATAAGTAAGAATGCCCTCCTGTGTCAGATTTCATAATCCTCAGTCACATCCCTTCTCAGCCCTCCAAGGAACAAGACTGATAGAAATTCTCAGACACAGGGCCTTCAGAGAGATAATGACAAACATCTGAAAAAATGCAGGCTGGGAGACAGCATACATCCAGTTCTATCCCTAGCACAAGGATGGAAATAGACCTTCAGAGGAGGAGGCCCTGAGATTCATACAGACAAGGAAGAAGTGTTAGAGCAAGAAAAATGTGTCCCAACTTCAGAAAGCTGCTGAGATGAATTAAAATGGCAGCAGACATACTTCCTTAGATGCTTTCTACCAACCAGGTGGAGCAAGGAGGGGACAGAAAAGCTAATGCCTCTTCACTGTAGATACAGCAAATGAAAAAAAAAACAAACCAACTTACTGTTGCAGGGCATAAGTATATTGTGTAAATGTACACTTACAAATCTGGAAGCAGGCATTTGGAAACAGCAATCATTACAGGATGCTCTAGGAAATCCACCAATTTGTCATAACTTACCTGGCTGATGATAATATTTTTGACAGTGTGACCTAGTTTCCAGTGACCCAATTCATGACCAAGTACAGCCAGAACTTCTTCATTTTTACATCCTTGTTTCTTATTCTGAGAGAATAACAAAGCAGAAGTACTATCAGGTATGACCAAACACAACTGAATAAATTTCTTACTTACTAGCTTGTTTTTCCCTGGTCGCTTAAATGTCCCTAGATCAGGCCGTTCCCTTCTACTATATATATATAGTATATATAGTAGAGATATATATATACACACACACACACTATATATATACTATACATATACATATATGTATACATATATACATATATATATACACACTATACCTACTATAATTTCTTACCGAGCCTTTTTCAAGAAGATACTTACAAACAAAAAAAGACAACCTCTTTTAAGTTCAAGAAGATTTCTACCAAGAGGTGGTGTTCTCTTATTTCTACGTATGCAGACATGCCTACGCAAACATGGAAGAAGGCTGGAAGATTTGCCTTCCAAACTCTCTCCTAGCATCCCTTGATCTCATCATGTTTCTTTACTCAAGAAAAGGCATTACAATGGATGCAGACATTCAGAGCCACAGACTTTCAATGGAGAATTGACAGCAAAGTCCTCTCCCTACTTCTTTCAACACTCAACATGTAGCTTCCCTCCAAAGGCGCTACTGTTCCTTTAAAAAAAAAAAGGACAACATCCCTGTCCTCTGTAACAAATGCTACGACATGCCTTAAAGCTATCATTAGGAAAGATGGACATCTGTACCTTCGAAGGTACATTAGCAAGTCAGAAGCAAGCATGTGGACTTGCGTACTAAGAACATAGCTAAAGAAACTGTTGAAATGGACAAATTCTCATTACGACTAGAGAAGACTCTCTGAATTTTTCAATGCAGGTGAGCTCAAAATTCCCTCCTCTCATCACCCACTTCTGCAGTATGCCATACCAAACCATGGATGAAGAGAATTCCACCACCAACATGGTTACAAGAAACAGAAGTGGGACTGAACAACAATCATGTATTTGTCATATATACATTGGCCTAACCCTAGGCTGCATGAAGCCTTCTCAGTTCTTCTCAGAATTACTCCTTCAGTCTTTTCAGAAAGCATTCCACCAGTTTTCACCATCCCTACACTCCCCTGAAGCCACAAAAGCTGTTACAGCAGACTCTTGATGTGCAACCGCACATCAATGGAAAGGACAATGATAGGCCATCATCCTATCCTTGACCAGGGCTGGGGAGGATGCACATGTGTCATCTGTATGTGTGCACATGTGCATGCATCTTGCACCAAAATTCTTGCATGTAGTAAAAGGCACACAAATGACACACTGCCAGTCAAAAGCATTTCCTTCAACGGGACGCTTTGGTGTGGCAGTCCCAAGAGAAGAAACACAAAATAAAAACCTAAACAGGTCTCTTATTCAAACAATTACAAGGAAGATCCATTTTTTACATGCAGGGAACCAATGTTTTGCTAAAGACCCTGTGGATTTCTATGGTATCTTTGGTGCTATCTATCTGCAACACTCACACTGCCCCAGAAATTCCAGTTAGCAGCTCAGGGATATTTTGGTAATGAAATCATTAGGGTTTGGGTTTTAGCATCTCATTCAGGCCCTTTAAAATACACTCAGAAAACACAAGGGAATATCTCACCAAGAAGTTAATGTACATAGCACAACAAAAAAAAAAAGGTTAACTCACTTGGGTTTTAGACTTTGTTTCTTCATTCTCACCATCTTCTCCTTCTGCTGGCTCTTTGTTCAATGCAGAATAATCTTCCAGAAGGGTGTCAAAGAGTACTATCCGCTTATTCTTGAAGAATCCATAGAAATAAGCGTTGCTATGAGAAGAACGCTTAGACCCTGACGGGGAAAATGTACATTAAAGATCATGATCTAAATAATCCCATGCACTGAAGACTATGCAATATTACACAGTACAGGTTCTTCCGAAGGAATTCTCGAAGTCCCCAAATGAATGGTAGACAAACTCACGCAAATGAGTTTGCAGGCTGAAGCGTATTTTAAAATGATCTAAGTAATGATAATCTCATTTACCAACTCCAAAAGAGAAATAATTTTTTTTATCTGTGACATGTAATCACTAAAATAACTAAAAACATAAGAGCAATCATGTGAAGATTTAATATCCAGAAGAAAAGTAATTTCTATTGCGATTTCAGGTTCAGAGCGGAAAGAGTATTCTGCATAGAACATGTGCTGTCCTCCTGGCAAAGGACTTGTGACGAACACATTTAGAATTCTTCCAATGTGCCAGCAAAGATGATTTGAAATAGATAAGGATGAATGTTAGAAACAGGTAAGGACAAGATGAAGAGAGGAACTACAGACATCCGGCAGTCCCTCAAAATTATTTTCTTTGAAATAGGCAATTTTTTACAGATACTTTTATCTACATCAGGTGAATCCTGGACTGTTTCTACTATAAATATACTTGGGGCCAAGAAACTCATCTCTTTTCATGGAACATGGACTGTTTCAGTCGATTAAAAAGCTGTCTAGATCAAAGCAGATGTTAAACTTTGCCTATTTTTGCCTATGGACAGGAGCTGTTGCAACATTAGGACTGAAAGAGGTCTCTGAGAGAACAGGTCGATTGCTCTGGTTTTTTTCAGCAAAAGATACTTCAACTTGAAGGCATCTGTCTTCAACTCTCACTGTAAATTTATGAGCTGCATCAACTCCATAGGGCACAAAATATTCATTGTTCCATTGCAAGCCAACCCATGGTAACTTTCAGCACCAAACCAAGACAGATCAACAGAGGAAGAGGCTGGTCAGAGTATGAAGCCTCAGCATTCATTCCTCCTCAGCAAAGAAATCTGAACAGCTGCAATGTTCCCTTTCACCTGCGTATCACAAACAACTTCATCCTCCACTAAGTGTTGATAGAGAAGGAACCTTTGTAATCTGCCTGTTACAGAATGAACCCTGAAATTAAAGGACTTGGTTGCACTTGTTACCAAGAAGTAAGTTCTGGAGTGGGAAGAGGCAAGACAGAGCGCAGAAAAACACTGGCAAAAGGATGTTCACACATCCAGTTCCCCATATCAGAAGGGAATGGTGCTGGCTCAACACTTAAGGATGCCAGGAGTCTGGCAGCCTCGCTCCACTTCAGATCACTAAACGCAGACGTGCTGAAGATGACAATGCAGTAGTACAGTACACAGGTGCCAGAGTGCCAACAACTGGCTCACAGGACTTTCACCATGGTTAAAAGCTACGATACAGCCAGCAATGCATATGGGAAAAATGTACCTGTTTGGCAAGCCTCTGTACGGACTCTCAAGCCTGAAAAGCTTCAACTTTGCTGGAAAAGAGAGGAGTTTCTAGGGCCCCAAGTATATCAATAGTACTAGTTCCTGGCTGCACTGAGGCAGAGCATTGACTGGATTTGGCCAGCCCAAAGTTTTGAAAGCCACAGCTTCCAGTCTAGATAAAGCCTTCACCACCCTTTCTTACAACAAAATTCTACCATTTCAGCTTTATACCATCTCATACTGCTTTCACCAAGGCAACAAAACCACCTCTGATCTTCACAGGTGGGGCACAAAACCAAAGCAAAATTTGGGAAAGTCCCTGAAATCAAGTTCAGAAGGGAGCAAAATGAATAACAGTGGAAATGTCAAACAGTAAAGTGCTCCATGAACATGGAAGTGGAGAGGAAGCAACATGGCAGCTGGCATGCTCCATGTTATAGTCCATGACCTAAGAAAAGAGGACATGAAATTCATTACTAGAAAGTGAAAAAAATTACAGTCTCTAGTGGAAGGTATGAATCCATCCAGCCATACTGTGAGAAACCATTCATGTGAACACTCTTAAGAAGGAATAGGTGTGTTTAACTTTCATAACTTTTTCAACAGTTTCACCAAGGACTTTGAGACAATTAATGCTAAACTGAGACTAGAGAAGATAAAAAAACCTTTTCCCTCTGGTTTAAAGTTCTAAAATGGGAATCTTGATTGATGCTTCCATTTCTGACTGTGCTATGTATTTCAATTCCACAGAGCCAAGACAATGCTTCAATGAGACTGCAAGTTAAGGCTGTACATTCAGCTTAACTTTTCTGAACCCAAGGCAAAAAAAAGGAAAATGGTACAGACATTTATAAGTATTACGATAGTTGAGGAATATAAGCAACTGCTCTACTACAGCATCCACAATCAAAATCTACATATCCAAAATTACAAAGTCTTTTTATTCAAAAAAATCTCACCTTCAACAACATACACCTTAGTCAATGGGAAGTCAATGCTCTTTGCCATTGTTTCAATTTGTTGCTTGAGTTCTCCCTCAGGAAGTGGAATGAATTTGTCAAACAAAGGTGCAATATAGTCTGCATAGATTGTAACAAGCACCTGCAAACACATACAGATATTAAAAGCAAGGCATACAAATGTGTGTTTGGTAGTAAAGGTGGAGCTTGAGTAAGCACAAAAAGAGGACACAATTTCAGAAAAAAACCACTTGATAAGGCAGAGTCCTGCATGAAGGGTGATCTTTAGCAAGGCTCTCTATGGGTCATCCCATCTACCATGACAACAACTTCTCGGCATGTTGACAGTCAGCAATTCAACAATTAGATGGGAGTGGAGACAGGTTAATCTACCATCTACAGTCCTCAGCAGAATTGGTGTAAACAGTGCTTTTGCTCTGACCTTTCCTCAAACCGCAGAAGGCAAAGACACTATGACAGCTGGGAGCGGTGGTCTTACCAGTGACAGGCTATCACTTTCACCCACTTCACAGACACTGGAAAGCTCTGAAGTGTTTCATCATGAGCAGCAGGGCCGACTGAACCAGGACATAGTCATGCTTCTTCAAATTCCTGCTAACTTGCAAAGCCACAGCCTACAATAGGCAAGAAATTTCATGTCCCCTATTTCTTCCCCTTCACATCGTTGTATGCAGGGGTAAGGAATCAGACCAAGGCCTGATGCCTCTGGTCCACAATGATTAACAGCTGTGTCCCAAAAATCACTACAATGCACCTGCATCTCTTCAAAGTGGCAGCAGATGCAGCTCAGATGAGAAAGCCAGAACCGGAATAACACTGTGATGAGAAGCAAAGCTGAATTCCCTTCCCTCATGCTCTGGACCTTCACAAAGTGATTTTTATTTATTCATTTTAAAGTAAACGCCTGGAGAAAACTTTAAATTCTCATTAGTAAAAAGAAACAGGACATGAGATGCAAATGGACATCAACACTAACTTCAAAGTTATCTTGACAGGTTTTTTTTTCCACTGGAAACAAGTATCTGCACTGTTGAAAAAGTCCAATGAAATTTAAAACTAGGGAAACTGACTCTTCCAAAGTCACAGCAAGCAAGGGCATCAATGAGACACACCGCTAGAAAATAAAAGTTATTTTCGTTACTGTAACTGTTAAGACAAGGGTTTAAACCACTTGCAGATATTTTGCAGCAAGTGTAGGAAGGTATTTTATAGAACAGAAATCAGGTCTCTGTTTCAGTCCAGACAAATGTCTCAGACCATGTAGCATGTGTGGACTGATTTTAAGTTTTTAATCTCTGATCTTTGTGTAAACCCTTGATATAAGCAGGCATAACAGCCTGCTAGAAGGATGCAACTCTAACTATGATTACAGACTTACGGAATGTGATTACAGCCGGAATTTTTCCCTAAATTGAACTCTAAAGGGTAAAACTAACATCTCTTAAGGTTATTTTGCATGTCAGAGACTGTTCAAACCCACACATTATGGCCTCAAACCATGATCAACACCCTGGGCATGCAGGTAATCCTCAGCAATAAAACAAGAAGGGGGGGTGGGGGAAGAGTGAGCCACTCGGTGTTGCTATATAATCTTTCAATACAGAAGTCTGTAGCTCTGACATGACAACTTTTATTTTCTAGCTTTTGCTGTGTAAAAGATAGGCCAACCCCTGTTTTATCAGGTTCTGAAGTATCTGTAAAATCTCAGGAAAACAATCTACTTGGACAGCTCAGTTAGAAGGGGCAGGCAAAGCAAAAATAAAATAGTAGTTTGTGATAGGAAAGTGACAGAGAAAAAAATGTGGTATCAGCTGAGTATATTCTGGTTCTCAAGTTGAAATTTAGTGTTACCTACTAAACTTTCTCTTCTTTCTACTAAACTTGCTTGATAAAGGCTATAAAATGGACATTCAGAAAGTTTCTAATATGAGAGGATACATTTTTTACAATATATATTGCAAAGAAAAGATGGCAAAAATAAAGGCAGTCAATGACTGGTATAAAAGAAGCTAAGGAAAGTATTTTTCACTTTTGGTGTATGAATAAGGGCAGGCCATTTCAGAAAATCCTGTGTCTTCTTTCAATCCTGAAACTACCAGTTCTTTTAAAATTTCAGCTTAATCCTTCTACAAAAAAGCAAGTCTTAAGATATGAACTGCATATCACATGAGGAACTAATATCTCCCCATTTTGCAAATAATAAGGACTAGAGTAGTCTGTAAGTATGGACTGTTTCACTCAGATTGACAGAGCGGTAGCTCAAATGCTGCGTATACTGCTGACCAAAGCTTGAAAGAAAAAGAACAATCCTTTAAGAAGTACTGATCAGAGTTTGCATGAATCTCTCTGTAACAGTCATTTCAATACACGTGAACTTATATTTTTGAGACCTACCGCTATGATTATTCAGAGTACATTTGGAGACAAAAAAAGGGAAGATGTCAGAGCATAAGGACTCCTGGACTACAGAAAGTAAGAGCCAGCACTACAGAACAACAGGGAACACTGTATAATTAAGCCAACAAACAAAAAAAAGCTTGAAAGAACTCAAAGTAGTAATTGTAAGCTAGAATTACCACTTAAGTGGGGCATTTCTGCTACTATACTATTGTCATTGATTTCCTCAGAAACACATTGGTGGTCACTGCACTATGCAGAATTAGTGGTCATACAGAAATTCACTAATCCACACACATTTCAGTTACATGTTAGGCACCAATAAAGCAAAAATATAAGAAAGCAACAAATACAATTCAGATAATGAGATCTGTATTCCATAAAAACAGGATTATAAAAAGACTCTGCAATTATGATTTAAACTAAGCCACAATTCCTTCCATGTTGCCATGTCTGAGAAAGTCAATGCTGCTATTGCATGTATAAGGGGGAAATCAGATTTTGCTGTGTTAATTGCCATGGCTTCCAGTGTAGCATTATGATAATATTTTTGTACAAATGTGGCCAGCCAATGCCTGTGCCTTAGAAAGGAAGCTGACAAATTGAAAGTCCGAGAAAGCTATACAAGTGATGTGAATCTAGAAGCAGTGGGGAGAAGGAAAAGAACAACAAAAAAAGTGCAACACTTACTTAAGTGTCCTGGTTTCAGCCAGGATAGAGC